GGGGTACCTACCCCGCCCTAGCATTTGATTCACAACCGACATTCAATAAGCAACTAATAGTGAAGTACATTTTATATCATTGGAAGGAATGTCATCCGTTGGTGTGCAAAGATTATAACAACTTATAATCGACATATCTTTGTATAAAGAATAGTGATCTTCAACGACAAGTATCAGCTACAGCACGATTCCTGTCAGTCAATATATGAACAGTGTAAATATGGGCAGTCTGGATTAAAATAATGATAATAAAAAAACATTTTCAAAGTAACAATGGCTACCTAAGATATTTCCAAAGGAATATAATGTTAGGCCCTTTATTTCTTAAAGGCATTCATGCTTGTTGTAAACAATATTTCACTTAGTGTATGTTCCACTTGTAAAAATTGTTGTAGAACACAGAGACTACTGTTATGACAGAGATGTTTTAAATGTGTGAAAAATTTTGTAAAAACTGCATGGAAACAAATTAATTAATAATCAAGTCATTTCATAGACACTAACCTGTTTGACACCGCGTTCCACTAAATCCCGGTACACAGCTGCACGTGAACCCATTCACTCGGTCGGTGCAAGTTCCATTGTTGAGACATGGGTTACTAGAGCATTCATCGATATCTGATTCGAGATGAAAACAACAATAAAAACAAATAATAAACACGTCATTTCATATTTTATGGTAGGCCCTTGTTAAAGGCATCATTTTTGGATCTAAATCCTCCAAGTTTCATTGCCTTCACTTTTTAGTGTCATAGCTTTAAATCCCTCCCCTCCCCCTGTCCCAAAACACCAGAAACAAGGTCTATCTTATAAGTGCGTCCCTAGTTAAGTAAATTAAATATACAGCGCAAAGATACATGTTAAGAACTTCACTCAGAGTCGCCTCAGAGATATTATTTTAATAAGGCTTATACAAACTGTACTCAGTCTCCTGATTCTCTTAAGGAATGTTGCATGCAACTTGTCCAAAGAATAAATGGCATGTAGACACTGACCTGTTTGACATCGAGTTCCACTGAAACCCAGTACACAGCTGCACGTGAACCCATTAACGCGGTCAGTGCAAGTTCCATTGTTGAGACATGGGTTACTAGCACACTCATCGATATCTAATTCGAGATAGAGATAGGAATAAATAGAAATAGAAGCAAAGTTATCTCGTAGTCTATCATAGGTTAAAAGCAATCATTTTTGACCTAGTATACATTCTCCAGGCTTTATTGCTTTCAATTTCTTAGTGCCATAGCCTTAAAACCCCTTCCGCCCTGGTCCCTCTGAAACACCAGAAATATGGTCTACTCTATGAGTGTATTCAGAGTTCAGTAAATTATACTTTAAAGAAGTACGTGTGGTGTTTCTGTGGCAAAATTGTACTTGATTGTCGCTCAGAGCTATTGTTTCATTTTTAATGATGTTACTACAAACTATACTCAAAGTCTCTTGATTCTCATTACGAATGTTGCATGCAACTTTTCCAAAGCTAAGAATAACTGGCATGTGGATACTGACCTGTTTGACACCGGATTCCGCTGAATCCCGGTACACAGCTGCACGTGAACCCATTAACGCGGTCGGTGCAAGTTCCATTGTTGAGACATGGGTTACTAGAGCACTCATCGACATCTGATTCGAGATAAAAAAAAGTAACAATAAATAGAAATAGAAGTAACGTCATCTCGTATTCTCATAGGTCCTTATTAAACGCAACCATTTTTGACCTAACATACATCCTATAAGCCTCATTACTTTCAATTTCTTAGTGTCATAGCCAAAAACCCCTTCCGCCCTGGTCCCACTAAAACACCAGAAATATGGTCTACTCAATAAGTGTGTCCACAGTTAACTAAATAAAACTCCAAAGAAGTAGGTGCGGTGTTTTTGTGGCAAAATTGTACTATGACTTGATCGTCGTTCAGAGCCATTATTTAATTTTAATAAGGTTACTACAAATTATACATAAAGTCTCCTTATTCACTTTACGAATGTTGCATGCAACTTCTCCAAAAGAAATAAAAAATGGTATGTAGACACTAACCCGTTTGACAACGTGTTCCACTGAATCCCGGTACACAGCTGCAAGTGAATCCATTCACTCGGTCAGTGCAAGTTCCATTGTTGAGACATGGGTTACTAGCACATTCATCGATATCTAATTCGAGATAAAAAATAACAATAAATGGAAAGAGAAGCAACGTCATTTTCGTACTCTATCGTAGGTCCTTGTTAAAAGCAATCATTTTTGACCTAACATACATCCTCCAAGACTCAATGCTTTCAATTTCGTAGTGTCATAGCCTTTAATTAAAACCCCTTCCGCCCTGGTCCCACTGAAACATCAGAAATATGCATATCTCTTTTACAAGTGTGTCCAGAGTTAAGTGAATTATACTCCAAAGAAGTAGGTGTTGTGTTTCTGTGGCAAAATTGTACTTGATCGTCACTCAGAGCTATTATTTAGTTTTTAATAAGGTTATTACAGACTATACTCAAAGTGTCTTGATTCACTTTACGAATGTTGCATGCAACTTCTCCAAAAAATAACTGCCATGTAGACACTAACCCGTTTGACAACGTGTTCCAGTGAATCCCGTTACACAGCTGCACGTGAACCCATTCACTCGGTCGCTGCAAGTTCCGTTGTTGAGACATGGGTTACTAGAGCATTCATCGATATCTAATTCGAGATTAAAAAAACAAACAAACAAGCAAACAAACAAACAAACAAGCAAACAAACAAGCAAACAAACAAAGCAATAAAACAAATATTAACAACGTCATTTCGTATTCTGTTATAGGATTTTGGGGACGGAAACATTTTTGGAACCAATATGCATCCTTCAAGCTTCATTACCTTCAATGTTTAGTATCCCCCTCGGTTCCCACCTCCCCCCCCCCCCCCCCCAAA